TGGATTTAGGAATAAAAACACTCAGTATTTCTGTGTATTGCCAGTTGAAAGAAACAATATCTAAATAATGAGCTAACAGTGCACAAGGTTACTTGGGAAAAGTGGGCTAACTGCAGGAATGAAAAACAAATTGTTTTATCTCTCAGGGTCTAATGAAAATGAAAGGAAAATGTCCTTTCAGGACTCTGCAGGTCACTAATCAGAAGCATGTTACTGGAGATAAAATTACAAGTCTCTTGTTAGAGTATCCCATTAGATCTTCCTCAAGGGCCCAAACTGTATCAAGATAAACTCTGTCATCACATGAGCCCAATGGTACATAGTGCTTTTGCTCTATGATGTAGGTTACAGGAAAAACAGTCACCTCGGATACAAAACACACTTTTTTATTCAATCGTCACATACTCAGCTTCTGTTCTAAAAACAAATAAATAAAAATAAAAGAAAATGTGTAACATGCTCATTAACTTAGCAGTGTCCACATATTTAATTCAGCTTCACACTCCTGTAGCCCTAGCTGTTGTCTACAAGGTTTGGCTTATGAGCTCCTATTATAGATGTGCTCTATATCTCAGTAATATTTTATCTAAGATAAATGACAGGTTATCAAGCAGATCAAGTGCCTTTGTGCACTTAATTAGTTTAGATAGTTTCTTTATTTTCTTCATCTCATATGTCATTATACTGAGTTTGAGCAACCTTAAGCTTGGTGCAGACTACTTCTGTCACGGTCCGGGGCAGCGGCCGTGTGGAGAGTGGAAGGAGGACCCAAAACGCAGCACTTATTCAGGTGTGAGGGTGATTTATTGTTAATAACGAACACAAAGTGGAGATGGCAAACAGAACTAAGGACGAAACTAGACTGGGATAAACTACACAGAGGAGTGGCAAACCTGAACATGAAGGGAGAACAGCAGGGAGAACACGCAGAGGATTACACCAGGGTAGGAACACAGAGGATGAACACAGGGTATGTACACAGACGACGCGACGAGGAGCAGAGGCAAACACACACTATAAATACACAGAGAGACACTGGGAAAATCACACACAGGTGGGAGACACAGCTGGACCTGATTAACCTGACGAGACAGGGGAACACTAACACCAGGGACCAATAGAGGGAGCACAA